GTCACCTGATAAGAAGCCAGAGAAGGATGTGAGGGTCAGGCTTGCGTTTTTATAATAAGTCACTTTCACAGGAACTAACCTGAGTTCTGTAAGAAATTCAACAATCCTGTCCAAGGGCAGTATCCCCGATGACCTTGTGACCTCCTACCAGATCCAAGCCTTAAAGCGTCCACCACCCGTCATGGCCACATTGGGAAGCATGATCGTGTGGGGGCAGACCACATGTAAAACCAAGGCACGTGCTAAAGCGAACCAGGAAGCAGCTATTTTAAAAATGGGTTCTATAGTCCCAGCACCCAGGGCACAGAGGCAGGTAGGTATCTGAGTTTGAGGCCAGTCTGATGTACATAATGATTTCCAGGACAGCCAGGGATACATAGAGATTCTTTCTAAGAAAAATACAAACAAACAAAAAACACCACTACCATCATCATATAAAAGAATAAAATAAGGGCTGGAGAGATGGCTCAGTGGTTAAGAGCAATGGCTGCTCTTCCAGAGGTCCTGAGTTCAATTCCCAGCACCCACATGGTGGCTCACGACCATCTACAACGGGATCTGATGCCCTCGTCCAGCACACAGGTGTACATGCAGAACACTCATACATAAAATTAAATAAAGTTTTTTTTTAAAAAAAAAGAATAAATTAAAAATGAGTTCTATCCTTGGACTTCACCTTGAAGTGATCCGTTTACCTTGAATAACCCACCCCTATAACTCCCGGGGGTGGGGAGAGGTCCTGGAAATCAGGAGGAGCACTTGGTGAGTCTCTGAAATGAGAGCTCCAAAAAGTGGTCAGCTTGTGTGGACTGTAACCAGAGCAGCTGTCAGGAGTGAGTGAACAGAGCCTGCGGGCACCCTTCCCCTGATGGCTGCAGGAAGGCTGGTAGCCAACCCTTTCCTCTCCGGGCAGCAAACAGGAGACGGTGCTGAGATGCTAACCTGCCTCAGAAGGAGGAACTGCTTCACTGACGTCTGCCGCATCAGTCAAACAACCCGCCGGGGCGACTCTTCACTGGGCCCCAGAGTTGGCGCCTCGTGCTCATGTTTGAAGCTTCTGCCAGCTCTCACCCTCTGTTCTGAGCCTCAAGCAGACACGGAGCCGGAGCCTTCTGGAAGAGCCTCTCGTAAGGAACAGTGTGGGAACACAGTGGAGGACATTACACCGTGAAGGGAGAAGAAAACACTTTAAAAACTCTCCAAAAGACAAGAAAATATGACGTGTCTATAAAACAAGAACAGGCTGGAGAATTTCTGAGAATAACAAAAAACCTCTTCAAAATTAAAATCAGCCAGCAGAAACAAGAAATTCACCAGAAGGATTGCAAGCTAAGACTGATGAAACCTCCAAGAAGTAGGGCAAAGAGACAATGTCAGAGAGAGAGAAGGGGAGGAGAAAGTAGGAAGGGGACTCATAAGGTGGCTTAGCGGGTAGACGCTTACCGAGCAAACCTGACAGCCAGAGGCCAATTCCCTGAACCCACGTGAAAGTAGGAGAGAACCAATTCTGCCAATTGCCCTCTGACCTCCACACGTGTGCTGTGCTGCGCTCACACACACTAATCATACTTGAAAATTAGGGCTGGAGAGAGGCTCAGTAAAGTGCTGCTCAAGCCTGAGGACCGGAGTTCGGGCCCCAGAACGGGGATGTGGTAGCCCACATCTGTGCTCCTGGTGTGTCCTATTGAGAGGGAGGTGCAGAAGGACACCCTGGCAAGCTCACAGACCAGCCAGGCTGAACACGGTCGTCAGCAAGAGGCCCTGTGTTGCAGTGGAAGGAGAGGACCCACAACCAAGAATGTCCTCTGACCTCCACATGACTGTTGTGGCACACGTGCACCTATACACATGAGTGTGTGCACACACACACTGCACACATTAGAAAGCGAGGAGTCAGAAGATAGTTCAGACACTCTTACGTGCAAACCAGGAGTTCAGAGAGAGAGCAGAGACACCATGAGCCATACGCTCCCTGATCGAAGCCTTGAGAAAACATTTGATTCCGAAGGAAACAAGTTCCCTGATTCAAACCTCAGTCAATGAAGATAGCCCCGCTTCAGCGAACAGCATCGAGGATTCCAGAGTACTGGGGATGAAGAGGAAAACTGCTAATACCTCAGAGGTGCAGCAGGCTCTGTGCCATGAGTAAGAGTTAGAACAGCAGGTCTGGAGAGGGACTCATCAGTTAAGGGCAATGGCTGCTCTTCCCAAGGGCCTGGGCTTAATTCCCAGCACCCACATGGTGGCTCACAACCAACCATAACTGCAGTTCCAAGGGATCAGTGCTCTCTTCTGGGCTCCACAGATAACAGGTATGTACCTGTTACATAGACCAGCATACAGGTAAACCACCTCCACACCCAAAATGAAAGTAAATAAATCTTTTTTTTAAAGTAGAATGGCTGTGACTTAGCACTTAAAATACTGGAAATAAGAAGGTGGTGGAAGATGGCCTTCAAGAGTCAGTGGTCCAGCAAGTGTCATGCTCTCCTGGAGACCTGTGTTTGGATCCACAGAACTCACATAGGTCATGCGTGGCAGTGAGCACTGCAGTCTTCGTGCTCCTAGGAAGAGATAGGGGACAGACACGGGAGAATCCCAGACTCTCTCAGGCCAGCTAGCCTGGTGTGCGCAGCTGTAAACAAGAGAATCTGCCTCAAACAAGATGGAAAGGTGAGAACCAGTGTCCCACATTGCCCTCTGACTTCCGCCTGCAGCATGATGCTCTTACGTGTGTGTGTGTGTGTACACACACTCTCAGACATTTTTCAAAGTCCAAAGGAAAAGACTTTCTGCCTAGAATTCTTCATGAAAACTATCTCTAAGCCTGAGGGTAGAAAGAGCATTTTCAGACATGCATATTCCAGTGCCTCTCGGGCCTCCTTGTCCTTGGCCCGCTGGTGATTGCACTACTCACAAATGACAGCAAAATAAGAAAGGGGGACATGGAGGCTGAAGAACAGAGAGCCAGCCCAGGAGGTGAAGGATGCAGCAGACGACAGTTGGGATGCAACATGGAGCATGTGAACACGTGGCTTTCATCATCCACGTGCCCACTAGCATGGCACCACCCTCCCAGCGCCAGGAAAGAGTGACTGGATTAGCCTGACCCAGATTCTCCCAGGGAGCTCGGCTGGCCTTGGCCATGCACAGCTGAGTCCCCCTTTCCTTCCATCCCTGTTGCCACATCAGCTGAGAATACTCTTGGCATCCAAAAACAAGTTTTGTGACTGGACCCTTCCCTGAGAACTGTAGATAGGCCCTGAAGAGCTTAGAGCAAAAAATAGAGAGTGGCCACCTGCCCTGACCATTTTTATGAGTTCCAGTTTAGTTCAGAAGGGACATGAATATGTAGTAGAATCTACCAACAAAGCAAAATCCCCGAGTGCTGAGTGGCAGGCTTCAGCTTCCCTGCTGTGTGCCTGGCCGAGTAAATCTTTAAAGTAACAAGTTCAGAGCGCATCACACACACCCAAGGATAGATTTCACCAGTTTATGCCGTATATCCAAAAATAAATCCACGTAGGTATTCCAAGAGGAAAAAAAAGCCCTATGTCCAAAGAAGTTTGGGGAACAGTCGGATAAGATGCTTTAGGGCTGGGGGTCTAGCTCAGTGGACAGAGGGCTCGCCGAGCACTCATGAAGCTCTTGGTTTTGTCCAGCACATGAACCTAGTGTCGTGACACACTTGTGACCCTAGCACTTGAGAAACAGAGGCAAGAGGATCACGAGTTCAAGGTCATCCTCTGCTCCATAGTGAGTTTGGGGCCATCCTGGGCTTCATGCGACCCTGTAAAGGAAAGTACTGTAGTTCCCTCATCATTTTAAATGCGATGATGCAGTCAGTTCTAATGGGAGGGGCAGTGTGCAGTGACCCAAGAGCCGTTTTTACAAAACACCAGTTGTTTCATTTTATTTTTTTAAGATTTATTTATTTTATTTGTGTAGGTGTGTTGCCTCAATATATGTATGTGCACCCCATGCATGCCTGGTGTCCACAGAGGTCAGAAGAGGGTGTCAGATACCTTGGAACCAAAGTTACTAATGACTGTGAGATGCCATGTAGGTGCTGGGGACCGAACCCAGGTCCTCTGCAAGAGCAGCAAGGGCTCTTAACCTCTGAGCCATCTCTCCAGCCCCAGCATCTGCTATCTTTTGTCTTATTTTATTTTTACTCATCTATTTATTTTACATCCTAGCTGCAGCCTCCACCCCCCCCCATCTTCCCCTCCCAGCCCCTCTCCCCCATTCCCCCCTCCAACTCCCAGTGCCCTCCTCTTCCGTTTCCACCCAGGAAAGGCAACACTTAAGGAACACACTCATAACAGTTTGGGGAACTAGAATGGAATAGATAGAAGACATTTAGTATGCTTTTACATGAAAGGAAATGAAATTGTTCTCAAGTCTTTAATTTTATGAAATGGATTTCAAGTACGTTTTTATGCCGCTTACAGATCCTTGGTAAGAAAAGTGGGTCCGCGTGCTACAGTGCTCTGGATCTGAGCTGGGCTGGGCTTAGTCTTAATTATGTTTGACCACAGAGAGGAAAAGATTCATTATCCTGGAGTCACTGGAGTTTATTCTGTTATAATAATATCCGTATGGGGGAAAAGGTGAAAGGCTAAGTTAGGACTTTCTCGGCCTTCCTACTTGAAACGCCTACATAAAACCCCAGCAGGCAGAAGATTTAATACCTTCCTCTCAGGGATGAGGCCTACAGTAGCGTAAAAATACGCTGGGTAGGGTTTAGATGTCATGGTGAATATTGATCATTCTATTTTAGGTTCATTTCCACGGCATTATTGGTATATAATACATCTGTAGATTTGTCTGTTTCCGGCTTTGGGTTTTTTCAGGTTTGTGAATTTTTAAACTTTTAAAATTCAGACTGGTTTATATTGAGACCTTCCAGATAGGTGTTTACATGACACAATTATTGTAGCCATTACTCTTGCTTGTATGTTATATAAATCTCTCTCTCTCTCTTCCTTCTATTTTAGTTTCCACTGCCTCTGAGGTCACATCTTCTTTTTCTACTTTGTCTGTGTCGTCTCCTGACTCGGCCCATCCAGAGAAGTCAGCCCATCACTTTCCCCTGGTTTTCACCAGCCCTTCCTTCTTGATTCAGCCCCGTCCACAGTCATCGTCTGCCCCCTTCACATACAAAGATGAGGCAGCCAGGGTTTGCCACCCCTTTGCTCCCAGGGGTACAGCATCTTCAGAAGACAAAGAATACCCCAATGGCCAAGATAACTCCGGCTCAGCTACGGAGAAGCCAGCTCACACTCCTAGCAGTAATCAGGTAGCATTTTCCTCTCCAGCTAGAACCTGCTTCCCCTCGGTTAGCCTATCCCAGGCTAGTTTTCAGACAAGGGAAGGCTTGCCCAGGGAATCCCCCGAGGCGAGCTCTCTCCATGGGCTTCTAGGCGAGGTGAGGGGTGCTGTGCTCAGACTCCATGAGGACCTGAGCCTGGTGATCCAGGAACTTGGTGTCATCAACAATCACCTAGGCAACCTGAGTGGCAGCAGCCAAGCAGCCAGCGAGACTCTGCAGGACCCCCAGTCTTCCATGGGGAGCTCAGATCCTATCTAGCTAGCATAGCCATTTTTCTGGAGCACAGTGGTTCTGCTGCCCACACACCTGGAGGTTCAACACTTCAGAGGTCCCCAGTGCTGTGGGGACAGAAAGGCAATGACTTAATTTTTCATTTTCAAGTTTATGAGCGCATCTTTCAAACCAACAAAGTCATTTGGGTGCTGTGCTTTTTTTTTTTCTTTTTCAAGAGAAAGTCACTTTTGATCATTTCAGGTTTAGATAGTAGTTGCTTTGAAACTGGGGAGTATTTCTCCCATTTTTTTGCATTTCAGTACCTTATCCCCAGAGGGGTGAGCCTTAGTGAGAGTTGTGAGAGCCTTTAAAGTGCAAATAGCTGTCGGAGGGCTTTTGAGTAAGCAAGGGAGCCCGGAGAAACCCTGGGTGCCCCACCCCCAGGGCTGCTCACAGACCTCTGCCTGCGCATACTCTTTCAAGCTGAGGTCCCACAGATCAGGAACCGGAAGTCTCTCTGCTGCCACAGGGTCAGGGTGAAGAGGAGGGAGGCAGGATGTGGAGCACATGTTTTTATGTTCATTTTTTTTTCAGAGAATTCAGGTGCATTCCCTTCTCTTGTAGTTCATAAATAAATTCAATATTTTCAACTCACTGTATCTTTTTCTAATTCCATTAACTTTTCAAGCAAAAAAAAAAAAATTGCCACCTTTACTTTGTAGACAAGAGTGACCTCGTTTGACTATTACAGACCAGTGCTTCCCACCCAGATGCATGCTGGATCAGCACAGTTTACTTTGTCATTGAACCCGGAGGCTCACCCACGCCAGGCCAGTGCTCTGCCACCTTGTTTAAGGCAGGGTCTGCAGTGCCCAGGTTAGCTGGTCTGAAGGATTCTGGGTGACTCTCCCCTCTCTACCTCCCATCTCACTATGGAATGCAGGGGTACCAGCAGTGGGGTGCCTCAAAGGGGGGGAAGGGAAACTTGGAACTGTCCTTCAACCACTCCGTGCCCATTGTGGTGTGCACTCACTCACAGACACAGGAAAAGAGGCTTTTAAAGGGACCGGGGAGACGGCTCATGGAAACTCTGCTTCAGAGTTTTCTTCATTGTTAATGAAATGCTTCTTGAAGATTTTTTTACATTTTTATTTATTTGCATGGGGGGTGTGCATAGCGCTTGCAAAGGTCAGAGGACAACTTACTTATCTCCTCCCACTATATGGGTTCCAGGAATTGAACTTGCATTGTCAGGCTTGGCTGCAAGCCCCTCTCCCCACTGAACCAGCTCACTGGCCCTCTTGCAGGTATCTTCAAGCTTTTCCTTCACTAAGAAGAGCAGTAAGCAGATCTCCTCACTAACAAGTACAGCATTTTTGCCGTTACTGTAAGAATAACAAGTTAACTGGGACATATGCTAATGAGCCAGTATGTCTGCATCCCACGAAGTTTAAAGCATTGAGATACGTGGTTTACATCTGAATAAAAAAACACAGATTTTGCCGTTTAAGGGCTACAACTTAACAAGGCTAAACGGGTATCACCTACTTCTAGAACATTTTCCTCACAGCCGAACCCCATGCGGGGCTCGCGGCAGATGCTCTGCTTGCCTGTGCCCTTCACTTTCCACACTCTTTGGAAGAGAAGCCATTTAAGGAAAGGGAGGGCTTATTCTGGCTTACGGTTCAAGGGGTTCAGTTTGGGGGTGGTGGGACGGCTATTCACATTGTGTCAGTGCAAACAGGAAATGGAGTCCAGCTAGAAAGCCTCAAGGTGCACCCCCCACCTTACCCCCAGTGGCCCACTTCCTTCAGCAAGGCTCCACCTCCTGAAGGTTCCAACCTTCCCAAATGGCCCCACCATGGACCAGGTGTTCAAACCCTAACACCCTTCTATTGCATAGCAGCTTCCTCCTAGGTAAATCTTCACCTTGTAGGGAAGCTTCTTATCACCCAGAATGTTTTAGGGAGCAGTAAAACCTTCCATCCTCAAGGAAGTTCACTAAGCTCAGGAAGTCCCTGAAACGTCACATGCTGAGTGGCCTGAAACAGACACAGACCAGCAGGGACGGTTGGAAAGGACACCCTGACTACACAAGCTACCGGCAGACTGTGCAGTGTATTCCAGGTCCAAGTTTTGTGAGTTGTCACTCATGCTGCAGTGGGCCTTGGTCATGCAGCTGCCTTTGAGTCATGTCTGCCTCTGTAAGTAATCCAATAAAACTCATGGTTCACCGAGATAGACTTTAGTGGCATTCTTAGTTCGGTCTGTTGTTAGGTACTTGTCTGAGGTAAGCATATGTTTCCTCAGGTCTCCCCAGGAATAACATCACACAACACCTACTCTTCCAAATTCTTGGCAACCAAAATGTATTGTCTACCTCCATGATATTTCATATAAATGATATTTTATATCAACAGAATCATACAGGCATCTACTCAGCCAGCTGCACTGCATCCCCAGCTTAGGGAGGAATCATAAAACATGAGAGTCTGTGATTTCCATCATACAGCACTATTTGGGCATTCATCCACGTCGGAACCCAGGTCAATACCTCATTTATTTGTATGATAAAGTATCAGATGTAGATACCACATGTTGCCTGGCCATTAATCATCTGGTTTGTGTTGCTTACACTTTTCTTGCTGCTGTGAATGGTGCCACTGCCCATGCTTTGTAAACATAAGATTCAGGTCTTGTCATGGCTTCCTTTCTGCTACTGTGATGAAATGCTTTAACATGAAGAGATAAAGGTTTCTTTGGCTCATACCAGTCCATCAGTGTAGGGAAGTCAAGGCAGGAATTTGAAGTGGCTGGTCACATCCCAGACAAGAGCAGAGAGAGAATGCAGGCATGTGCTCACCTTCTCTCTACACTTATCCAGTCCGGGATCCAAACCCAGGAAATTTTGAGGCTGGGTCTTCCCACATTAATTAAGATAATGAGGGTGGCTCCCCCAAAGGCTTGCTTCTGAGCCAACCTGATTAGTCCCTCATCAAGAATCCCTTCCCAGCTGATTCTAGGTTAAATCAAATTGACAAAACGAGCCATCGCAGATTCTCTTATACCACTGAGTATAATTGCTGGGTCAGAAGACACCATCACACTGGTTGGGTAAATCAAATTGAAGTCTCCAGAAACACCCAGGTTAATCTCAGACTTAGCTTCCTCACTGGGGATGGTCATTTCCCACCCTGACTGTATACCTACTGGGTGTCACTTTATTGGAAGGACCAGCCACGCTAGACTACCCACTCTGACAGTCATCCGGTGGAAGCAGGAAGTTGCTAGACTCTACAGCTTCCCTTAAGGAGGAGTGGCTTCTGGCCAGTAGTCCCGGTGCTTAGAAGACCGAGGCAGGAGAATCTCAAATTATGGAGGCCGACCTGGTCTACATAAGTGAGTTCCAGGCTAGTCATTGCTCCATAATGAAACCCAATCTCAAACGCACACGCACACACACACACACATGCACACACACATACATGCACACCCCTATGAGCACACACAAAGGAAAGGGAAGAGTGAACATTTGCCTGGCACTGAGTTGCCTTTAAGAACCTGTTTACCAGACCCTGGGAATACTCAGGAAGACCAGATATAACACCTGTCCTCAGTTTGAGTTCTAAAGATTGGAAGGAGTTTGCCAGATTCATCAAGGTCTCTTCCCAAATGTAATAGGACATTACAGATTCTGAGAAATTTGGAGAAATTTTACTTATGGAAGTAACCTCGGAGCTGAAATATGAAACTCCAGGGCTATTAAAACAAATGCTCTAAAAACATGTTGAGCACATCGAGTTCTTTGTACATTAAAATAGGTTGCCAAGAAGTCATCAGAAAACCTGGCTTTCTTCATCTGGGAGCTCCACCATTAGACTTTAGTAAGGACACTGCTCCTATTTGTGGTAGCTCAAACACTTCTCAGTTATATACTGTTAAGAGGGGGAGAATAGGGCTGGAGAGATGGCTCAGTGGTTAAAAGGACTTGCTGCTCTTGCAGAGGACCCAGATTTTGTTCCCAGCACCCACTTGATCATCCACAACTTCAGCTTCAGAGGATCTGGCACCCCCTCCTGGACTCTGCAGGCACTGCAAACACACAGTGCACATACATGCATGCAGGCAAACACTCATACACATAAAATAAAAATGAAATAAATATTTTTTAAAATAGTAGACAATAAAAAATCTTTCCAAGACACATCATTCCCCTCTTCCCCATTCATATCCCCAAAAGCTGCTGCTGCATCAGGATGTTGACCATGGGACCCCACAAGTAACTGGAATTTAACTACAACAAAAACCGCCTCTATGTGAAGTTTCCACGCTTATCACATGCTTACTACATGCATGTTGACACTTCCGATCATAACTAGGTTCTACATAGCTCATATATTTATTACAACCATTTGCTAATTCGTATAATTAATAAGCACTTACGTGATTTTCTATTTAGCCAACAACTCTATTAAACCAGTAGAAAAAACTTGGCTTAAATCAAGAGAGGGTCTATTCTGATTGACTTTGCAATTATCTCATATTAAAAATACTTGAGATGTTATTCTCATACTGTTTTAGTCTGAACTGAGGACGGTATTACAAAGCGGTTATAAACATATTTTACAGTTTGCTTACTGTCAAATTACTCATGTGTTCATTCTTTAAATATTTATAAAGCACCGTTAGGCGTAGGCAGTTTGCCAGACGTCAGGACACAATAGCGAACAAGACGGATGAGTCCCTGTCAGAGTTTCAGCTCTGTGGCCACGCAAATGGGAGAGTTGGTAGTTGCCGTACAATGCATGGCACCTGTGGACTTGCAAGGCACAGAGTGGTGAGGTAGGGCTTGGCACAGGGCACAGGGCACAGGCAGCATGAGGGAGTTTGGGAATGTTACCTGGAAGACCTGTAGTCCACATGGAAGCAGGAAGGCAACAAGCAGAGGGTGTGGGGGAGACAACTTTCTGACATTTTATCTGGGTGGGCACAACACATGATACGAGCCTGTATGGAGAATGTACCAATAGGAAGGTCAGGAGTTT